TGGATTTTTCCATCTCTACTGCCACCAACCTACCTTGAGCTATCATCAACATGCTTGGATTTTTGCAGTTTCTATTCCAGTCCTCTTTCTCTCATTTCTTTTTAGTTTATCCCTTGAAGATGATTGCAAATGCAGTGGGAAGCCTTATGAGTTTTAAATAGAAGGGTGACATTATATCATTTATAATTTTAAGGTTATCATTATGAAAGACGTGCAAAGAATGATGCCTTACCATGACTGGTAAAAACTGGTACGATCTTGCCTCTGTCAACCTCTTTACATTTATTTCATGTTTCTGTCTTTTTTTTAACCATATCTCAGCTGTATCAGTCAGCTTTCAGATTTTTTTCTCTATGTCACTATCTATCTTTCCTTAGAGCTTTCACACATTATTTTCTTTGTTTAAAAATTCTCTTCCATATCCTCTACCCATGGCATGTATCTATAGCTGTTTAGTTATCTTTGCTAGTATTCTTAAGTCCAAAGGGGGCTGGACTATGTACTTTATTTACTTATTTCTATCCTGTACCTTGCACAATGCATTACACATAACAGCACTCAGTGTTTGTTTAATGGACAAGTATCAATTATTGCTTTCAATCAATAAAGAATTTTAACATTCATGTTTTGTGTTTGGTGCTATGAAACATATGAAGGGCTTATAAATACATAATATTTAACCTAAAATGTCCCCTAATTTGAGAGGAGGGAGAGAAGACACAAGTATCATTGTAATGTGGGGGACAGCAATTTAATTTGAGTGGCTAACCAACAATGTGACCTCAGATAAGTTATTTCCCTTCTCTGTTCCCTTACTTCTCCATTTAGGAGTCTGACTGGACCTTTTTAAGACTTTGGTTTGCAAATCTGATATGCAACTGAAGATATACTTGTTAAATTATTTTCTCCTAAATTCTGTCCCTGGAGAATCTGATTCAGTAGCCCTGGGATAGTCAGGAATTCCCTGGGTGATTGTGATGCATAGCTAGGTTTAGGAAGACCTCATCTAGGGCCTTTTAACTTTGACACCTTGTAATTCTAATTGTTGGAAAAGGCAGACTTTGAAAGTACAGAAGGAATTAGGTTAAATAAGATATTGTTTTTATTCAAAGTTGGGGAAAATATTTTCTTGCTTGGGTTATGGGAGTGGGGCTTAATGGAAAAGTTGATGTTAAGATGAACTTTGAAGAATAGGTAGAGATATGGGCACATGCATGATTGTATGGTTGGTGTTTAGTTCAGTTCAGTTGGAGGCTAGAATATATACAAGGTAGCAGGAAGGAGAACATTTCCTGTTTTACCTGTCAAATTTAGTTTCCTTTTGGAGATTCTATTCTTGCAGCTTGATTATTTTGAGGGAGTGAAACAAAGATGAGGTGGTGACAGACACCATGAAGCCATTTTGTGAAATAACTGAGTATATTCTTCCTTCAGCGTTTAAGGGTTGTGCCCTTTGATATCCACTTTGACCATCCCATTGGCTTTCTGGTTGGATACAAAGAGTATCAGGAGATACTATGTTATCTAAAATAATAGTTTTGATGCAGAATGATTATTATTAAACCAAAGTTGGTTTTTTTGTTTAGATGAAACCATATAAAGGCAACATTCTGAGTAAATTATATAGCATCCATTTGATGAAATAATGAGCCTAAGTTTAAGAGATGTAAGTAATGATCTAATGTAATATTTAGAATGGATATGTAGTATGTAGTTATTAACCTAAAAGTCATATCCTGCATTCTTTTAATTTGTGGAAAATGTGTCATTAATTGCCCAAAGAACCTCTGATTTTTCATACATAATCACATGATAGCTGTTGACTTTCTCCCCTTTCTCTTTCCTTAAAATACATCCTTATAAAAAGATTACTTTCAGATTTGTAATGCCCTCTTTAAACATTGAATTGCTAACTTTAGCCCTGTTGCTCTCTTTAAAAAAAAAAAAAAGAATTCTTTTTTTCCTCCTAACTTTGCCTTTAAATAGTTACTGATAAATCATACTTTGGTTTTTGATGGCGACTGGCTTAAAATCTTATTTAACCTTTCTGCCTAGTGATAACATGCTAATTCTGAAATGTATTTTGTTTTAATTTCACTGATGGGAGAAAATGGATATACTCTTCCATTTAGAAACAGTTTGAAAGATACATTCTGATCCTTCATTAAACTCTCTCTAAATGCAACAAGATCAGAAGTCAAGCAAAAGTCAAAAATGAAAAAGAAAGAATAGGATAGTAGATAAGAAATGAAGCAGCCAGGTTGATATCTATCCTTGCCCATTCCTGCCAAATGGCTCAGATCATTTTAGGATTTACAGATCAACTTTTGATCATCTAGCCAATTTACTATCTCATGTAGCCCTTGTGATGTTGGTCTTTTGTCTATCAATTAAGTTTGAAGTGAGAAAAGTATAAATAACAAACCTCTCACGATAGTCTGGAGATGAGGCTTAAGGGGTAGAATGCCTGACTAGCAAGCATGAGATCCTGAGTTCAAACCTCAGTACTGCCAAAAAAAACCTCTCATGATTAATTGCTTGCAAAGAGTTACTTTTATTAATATGAGTTCTTGGACTCCAGAAGCATCAAAGCCCCTAGAGAATTTATTTGAAGGGAAAATAAAAATACAAACAACCACAGTATAGCTATATCAAGAAATTACCTCTCAGGGCCAACATAATGGCTCATTTCTGTAAACCCAGCTATGCAGGAGGCAAAGAGAGGAGGACTGCAGTTTGAGACCAGCTGGGCAAAAAGTTATTGAGACCCTATGTCAAAGAACAAGCTGGGAAATGGCCATAACACCAGCTATGTGAGAAGTATCGGTAGGAGGATTGTAGTCAAGTCTGATTTGGGCAAAAAGCATGAGACCCTATCTAAAAAATTAACTAAAACAAAAAGAACTGGCAGTGTGGCTCAAGTGGTAAAGCACTTGCCTTGGAAATGTAAGGCCCCAGAATTCAACCCCAGTACTATCCCTCAAATGTATCACTTTTATAGAAATGAACATAGACTTGAGAAAACTTCCTCAAATCCAGGAAGAGGCATCCCATCTTTCTTTTTTATCTCTCAGACTGTTACAAGAAATAATAGAGTCAGAAGGGTAGACTTTGGAGACAAATTTAATATCATTTACATTTAGCAAATTGTGTTCTGTGTTCATGCTGCCTGTTGTGGTGTTGTAGGCCCACTGCTGCTTCATCCAAAGCACTTGAGGTATTGTCTCCTTATGTGTTAGGCTTTCACATATTACTTGACTTGATACAAGAGTTTTGGCTCTTAAAAAAGTTTGAAAACCATCAGTTTAGCTCAAATTCCTAAGACGTCATGGACAATGTATTCGAAGGTCAAAGAAGTTCAGTTTTATACACAGTCATGCAACTACTTGGATATTGACAGAAACTAGAAATCATGAATTCAGACTTCCTATCCAGGGCATTTTTACTAGAAAATGTTGTTTTGGTTTTCCATTTTGAAAGACACAGAAGTGGTCTGTGAAATGGTGATTAGCACTAGGCAGCCCCAGGCAGCCCTGGAGTGCTCCATGATTCAAATGCCCAAGACCAGATGGAAGTCCAGAAGTGGATGATTCAGAGTTTATTAGTTTTGCCACCTGAGCAATACAGCCGAACCAGCTGCCATAAGGCAGTTCCAATTTCAATAGAGCAGTAAATGAACATAAAAATGAGTGTAAATCCCCAGAATAAAGTAATGGAGAATGGCTGCCTCAGTAAGGAGATTCATCCAGGTTGAGTCCTGTTGATTTCTCTTGTAGAAGGTACAGCTATCATGCCAGGGAGAGAGCAAGAAAAGGTTGTAGCACCAAGTTCTAAAAAAAACCAAAAAAACACTTAAGTTGTTCCAGAGGCCAATACTAATTTGGAATGTGTTTGAATTGCTAGCTTAGTAGGTTCTCAGCCACATCATATGATTTAGAAAGGAAAAAATTAGCCAATGTTATGTCATGATTATGTCACGAAACAAGATCATTTTTTCCCCCTGGAAACTGGAAAGTCATTTGGTCAGCTCCTTTCCACAGTTGTGGGCTTGGAGACATAGGTATCCACTGATCCTTATGGCAAATCCATCAGGAATCAAGTCATTTTCCTCATGTTCTCCTCATATGGAGTTGAACTTTTGTAGTTTCTCAAGAGCTGCCCATGAAATACTGCCAGACTCTTAAGTTAACCTTAGGTTTTTAGATGACCCCTTTAAGAGATCTATGAAGCTGAAAAACTGAGATGTGTATAAAAATGGGGGGGGGGCAAAACTAAGTTGGGAGAGGAACAATAATTATAGTAAATTTTGTTTACATGAGGATGATTCACTAATGAATTTTTTTTAAAGTCAAATCTTGATTTTTCTATGTCAAAAATGATTGGACAACAAGTAACAGAGAACTTGACCAAACCAAGTTAAACAAAACAGAAATGTACTGTAATTCCTTTCTTATGTAACAGGAAGTGTAGATGAATATGACTCCTGGACTTGGGTCATCAGCTCAGTGATCATTCAGGCTTTTTGGTGTCATCTTGATGAAAAATAAAAAGACATAGTTGGAGAGGGGAAAGGCATGTACTATTGCTGATATACTTTGATATGGCTTTAATACTCAAAACTAGACCAAGGTGTCATCGGCTTGGTCAACTCTGCCTTTAGAGAATCCCTCAGGAGCTGAACATTTATGTGTTGATCATTACTTAGTCTGATGCAATGATGTCATACTGCTTTCTGTTTGTATTCTGAGAATACAGTTACCTATAAATGTATTTTTTTTTTTGTTGTGCTAAGGTTTGAACTCGGGGCCTTGCACTTGCTAGGTAGGCACTCTACCACTTAAGCCATACCTCCAGCTGTATATTTTCTAACCTGTTTATTCAGTTTTTAATTTCTACAATGGCATGAAGTGAAATCACTTTTGTATGATAACATTTTGTTTTTGAGTACAGATAAACTGTTTTTCTTTACCTTTTCTTTTTTATCCCCTGGTAGGTGGCCTGTTTGACCCAAGTAGCTGTGAATTATCTTATTGGCCAAAAGGAAGCAAAACGTTGGGGCACAGCTCATGGCAGTATTGTTCCTTACCAGGTAAGAATACAATATTGCCTTGAGTTATGATAATCTGTAGTTTTGTATAATATGAATTTGGAAAATGAATTCTTCAAAACCTCTGGGGTATTCTGTCATGTTTCTCTGTCTGGTTATACCAAGATTCTGTTGTTCTCTTTAAATTCTGTGTTTTGCACATTTCTTCATCAGAAGAAGATTAGTAACAGGACACTTAAGTGGATCAAAGGAACTTGCTGAAAATGAGTGACTTTTGGACTCATGTGATGTTTGCTTTCTTTTCACCCAAAAGAGACACTGACTATAGCCACTTTATAAAACATGATTTGTTACCATGTCAGTTATAAAATGAATGTTACCTTCCCCATCTGACAGTGATATTCTCTCAGGGTTGGAGTGAAATGAAAGTTTGCATGTTTCAGATCTTCATTTTTGGAGCAAAACAGATGGTTTAGGAGCTGCTGTTCTTTATTAAGTGTCTAAACTTATCCTTAGGAATTCTGGACTTTGGCTAGTGTGAATGAGTATGTGAAGAAACTGTGGTATTCCAAAAATAAAAACAAAAACTCTACCACATTTTCCAAACCCCTAACCTTTGCTTAGGATGGTTGCTTTATATTTCGTTGTATTTATTAGTGTATTTGTCATATCTTCCATACCATATTGTAAGCTGTAGAGGTATCTTTTTCATCATTGTACCTCCTCTAGGTACCATATAAATATCTGTGGAATGAAGGGGTGAGTTTCACTCTGTTTATTTCAATGCTAGTACTCTTGATGGAAAACATAAAAGCCAACATTTTTCATTTGCCTGGAAATCTGCTAGCACTGCTAATCATCCTTTTAAGCTTAAGAAATTATTACCTCAGGCAAAACTAGTTTTTTTTCCATTTTTAAAAATCCAAATTTGAGGAAAGCAGTGATCCAATGTGAGTCTAGGATTCTTTTCCTCTCTTATTTCTTTTTTACACTTGAGACTTTATGATGATTTCCCTGTAGAACTTCTTTTCAATACATTCAGTTAATCTTCTTTAGTGGCTTCTCTTTTTTCACCACCAGAGGCTTCATAACCATCTTAGTGACATTTTGCTTCTCTACTTCCTAGCCTTTTGTGTCCTGCGCTGTACTTCCAGCCAGACCTATGTCACTTTATAAAAGTACTTGCATTTTGGAATTGGTTGAATAATCAGATTCGGCCTTATTTTCAGACAAGAAGTCTGATGCTTAGATTGGGTAGATAGACTCCAACTCTGGCCTCCTGCCTCCATGTTGAGAATTCTTTCAAGTCCTACTACCATTGGCAGAAGAGTGCTTTGATTTCAGTTCCCTCCTTCAACTCTACCTGTATATTCTCCCCATCCAACTTGTTCCTAACTCACGGGTCTCATTAAATGATTTTTACTCGTCACTGATGATGGAAGTTGCTCTCAAGGGAGTTGTAACAAGTGACAATGTTATATATATGTGAATTCATCTCAAATAATGAAATTCAGGGTTTTATCTTTGATGTGTATGTAGAAAACATTTCTGAGTTGGAATGTAATTCTAATTCACATCACAAAAGCAGATGCTCACTATATTCAACCATACAGATTATAAGTTTTTGTTTATTTTAAAAAACAGAATTTCTTTTTATAAAAAACTTTCTATAGACCTCACGTATCCCTCCTAGGCATCTAAAACCTAGAATCCTAATCTTAATTATTTCACCATGAGGTAAAAAGAAATTCAGAATTTTTGGTTTTTACTTTGGAAGCTAAAAAATATAAAAGATTGTATGTATATATATATATATATATATATATATATACATATATATACAATATATATACATACAATCTTCAAAGATAGAAATATACTTTTCCTGGTTGAATTGACCCAGTGACATGAAATAGATACTGTTCTTATTTGATTATATTTGATTGCAGCTTCATTATCTGTAAGAAATTAGAGATCTATTAGGGTCTTTCATTAGGAGCCCAGAATTAATTTGTTTCCTCTTTGTAGAGAACTGGTTCAACACATTGATTAAGAAATAAATGCAAATTTAACCTGAATGAAGTTAGTATAGCAAGATGGTTCTTAGATATACTTGGAGAGCCTGGTCTGTTTTCCATTTTTAAATAGATTTAGTGAATATTTTCATGGGTGAATGCAAAGATAATTATAATTCAGTTTAATTTATTATCATAATTATAGCTTTGAATCTAATTTGAGTTGTCTTAGTTTTTAGCTGAGTGTCTATAATGAAAGACTCTGATGGGTCCCAGAAATTAGTTAAGGTGCCCAACTCATTTTCCTCAGTTATTTTGAAACCTATCTGGAGGATCATATACCTTGAATGCATGGAATATAAATTTATGAGAAGTAGTGATCCTTGATTTGTGTGCTATTTTATAGACATCCAGTTCTTAACTTCTCAATTTGATTATCCATTGGTGCTCCTTTGCTTTCTATTCTTTAGCTGTATTGCATAATGAGGTAGAGTCTCATTATGTAATACAAGCTGGACTAAAACTCACTATGTAGCCCAGGCTTGCCTAGAGTTCACAATTCTCCTGCCTCTGCCTCCTGAGTGCTGGGATTACAGTTGTGTGCCACCATGGTTAGCTTGCTGCCAACTTTTAAAAAAACGAGTAAGTTAAACAAAAGTAGACACAATTGGGATAATAATTTTAATGTTTGTTGAGCATGTTGGTGGATGATTTTATGAAAATTAAAATTAAAAAATTTTTGTTTCCTTTACTTTTGGACTGTGTCCCAGAAAAACACCTAATCTAAAGAATGAATAATTATATAATTTTCATGTTAGTATTTTTTGAGACAGGGTCTCACTATATAACCCAGCCTGGTCTACACCTTGTGATCCTCCCCTCTCAGTCTCCAACTGCTGGGATTATAGGTGTGCACAACAATGCCTGGCGTTCACATTAATATGTTTAGTGCATTGGTATGTTTCCCAGCCATTTAAACAATTATATTTATAAAGAGATGAGGATTATATTGAAATGGGAAAGGAGTGTGAAGAGAAAGCAGATGGTTGGTCTTCAAAAACAATATATTGTACTGCCTAACATACTTACCAGTGGGACTCCTGCCCTTTAGATGAATGACTAACATGGTCATTCTTTTAATTTCATAGCTTGTGTATATTTAAAACTCCCAATTTTTTCATCTTCCTGGGATGCTACATTTGTATGTTCCCCTCTTCTTGTGACCCACACTGACCTCTACTCTCTCAAAATCATAGATGATTCATTCATAATACACTTACAAGGACAGGAAACTATACTGATATTTTGAAGAAAAACAGGATTTCTTTTTTATAGATGAAATTTACCCAATCTCAAATAGAACAGGAGGCCTCGGCTTTCTCCTTTAGCAGCTGAAGGGAGTTTCGCTACCTTTAATGGCATAAGAATCTCTTCATCTTCTGTTCCTTTCTCTCCCTTCTCAGATCCCTTGCCATCTTATCTTTTTCAAGAACAATAAATTCCTCCTGTCTTATAGGGAGTTATTATGCTGTCTAGTGCAGGCACAGATCTTTGGGTAGCTTCTCTAATCCTAAGAGCCTAACAATTTATACTCTTTTATATGAGGAGAATTGCTTCCTAAAGGGATGCTGATGTGTGGATCTAGTAGAAGGCCACTGAATTCTATGTTCCTGATCAGACAATGTCTTCCCTACTTTACGCTGTGTCCAGCACACGTGAAGGAGCCTAAAGAGTTTCATGTGCTTCTAGTGAAACCACAGTGGAAGATACAGCCTTCACCTACATTATTACCCCATAATGAGTAAAAATTGCCTAAGAGACCAATCTGAAAATGGGAGTACAACCACAACTATCTGCTTCCTGTAACAGACTACCAGAACTAACCCCATCACTCTTGGTTTTCTTTCTTTTGGTGGAGGCTCACTATGTACTCAGGTTGTTCTTGAACTCCTGAGCTCTGGTCATACCCCCTGCCTCTGCTTCCCAAGTAGCTGTAATTAGGAACATGATGCCTTGCTATCCCATTATTTTTTATAGTCATTTGCCTCAATCTCCAGCAGGACTACAAGCTTTCCAGGCCATTTATTGTCACCTAGACAATTTTCCATAAGGCTCTGTTCATCTCTTCCTCCAGTTGTTTCTCCTGCCATCAATTTTGGTGACTATAAAACCTACACATGGAGCACCCTTGCAAAGCTTGGCCTCCATTTCTTTAACCGCTTCCCTCTCTTCATGATATTTTACTTTTGTCACTTGGCTCTCACTCAGGCATTTCTTAAACTTCAAAGTGCATATGGATCATTTTGAGGTCTTGTTAAGTTGCAGATGCTGTACTGTGAGCAGTATGGTTCCAAATCTAGACTTCATTATTATTAATAATAACACCATTGTTTTGTAGTGAACTGGCAAGATCTCAGTGCTGATTAGACTTAATACTTCATCTATTTTTCATGTGTGCACCCAAACAGTGGATATGACTAGAAAATACACTATGATGCTGACTACCTCCCAGATGATGGCCACCTCTCTCAGATGGTTCCCAACCTTACCCAACAGTCCTGCCACATTCACCTACATGATTAGTTTTCTCTCTTTCTGAAATGACTACTTCACATCTTTTTTTTCAGTTGTTCTCATCCTTATCCATCCAGGTCTGTCTTCATCCTGAGGTTGACTTTGCTTCTTATTGCTTTAAAACCTAGACTTTGCTTTTTATTGCAGTCAGGAGAATTGCTTCATTTTTTCCCCAATGTATCTTTAAAACTCCTACATGTGTACCCATATATAACTGACTGCTATCTCTCCTGTCATGATGGATGAATTGTCCCTGTCCACATTTGTCTGCCTAAAAGCACTGATCCTACAGTTTATCTCATCTGTCACCTGTGTTAGTCATCAGTGTGGATAAGCATATGAACGATCCTTATCTTCAAAATCCCACCAACTTCCTTGGTCCCCAGGGCTTGTTTTACTATCCTGCTTCTCCATGCTCTTAAATTACAAACACTGCAGGAGAGTTTTGTGTAG